ACGCGTTGCCCTGGCAACAGGGGCGGCCGCGCCTGGTCACACCGGGGGTCACACCGGGGGTCACACATGGGGTCACTCCAGGGGTCACACTGAAAGTCACTCCGGGGCTGAGGTGCAGTGTCCAATGTAACAGAGGCAGCAGTCAAGGGTTGTCCACAGAATCCTCAAGACACCCAAAAATTTCCTGAAAAACAAACAGGTGGAGAAAAATTCAAAATAATGTAAAGGGAAGGAAAACAACTTCCTCCCTGCTGTTTCCTCTTAGCTTTAATTAGGAATTCTTCTCTATAATGGAAAGAATAGACAACTTTGGTATTGGCTTCCTTCCCCACTTTCTGTCTGGGCAGTGCCATGGTGGAAAAACATTAAATAATAATAACTCAGGCCATCTGTCACCTCTCAGAGCCACTGCTCTGCACAGGCCAAACCTCTCCTGGTGTCCTGGTGCCTCCCAGAGCTCCTGCTGGGCCTGGTTCCTCTCCTTCCCCTGCCCTGCAGAGCAGCTCCATCCTGAAATGCCAGAGGGAATTCTGGATAAAGCAACAACTGTGGAGTTCTCCTGGGAAATTGGCATCTCCACGTCCCCCACGCACCTCTTGGTGGGAGGGAGAAGGGGATGTGCAGAGCTGATAAATTTCCCCAGTAGCACGGAACTGGGAACATCTGCTCGGTGACTTGGATGAGGAGGAGAGGCACCCACATTCCGTTTGTTTCCCTCTGCCATTCTCTGGGACTGGAGCCATAAGCCAGGGAATTTCAGCCCAAGCAACAGAATTATGAAGGCACTCTGTGTTTCCAGTTTTGCCTTGGGGAACCACGAGGATGCTGCTGAATGGAAGTGTGGCAGTGGGGGCTCCTGGTGTCCTGCAGGAATCCCTTGAGTGGGAAAGGTCTTTCCTACCCTCCATAAAACCCCAGGGAGTTTCACTGAGTGACACACAACCCAAATACGTGTGTGCACCAGTGCCAAGGCTGGCCCCTTTAGATTTTTAGATCAGGGTGACCTTCAGCTCAAGGTCTGGTCCAGTGGAAGATGTTCCTGCCCCTGGCAGGGGGTGGAATGAAATGAGTTTTTGAGTCCATTCCAACCCAAACCATTCCGTGATTCTGTGACAAAAATCAGGACAGCCCTGTTCAATTTTCTGCCTGGCACATTTTGACCTCTCTGCTGCTGAAAGGCACGTGGGGCTCCATAAACAATAAACTGCCCTGGGGTCAGGCATGAATCGAAGCTTTGACATTCAGAGAGATCCGATCCTGAAGGAGGGCTCCAAGCAGAGCCCACAGGGAACCCGCCCACAGCCCTCGGGGCTGTATTTCTTCCCCGTGCTAATTTTACTAAAGACACAACTCATATTCCTGTTGATTGAACAGTTTTGTGTTGACAGCGTTGAAGATTTGTGATGAAACTCATCATCAGCCCCAAGAGCGGGCCATTAGTCCCCGTCAGCGCGGCCGGCGAGGCCTCGGATATTTTATGGCCCGCTCTGAAGACAAACATACACATTTATATGTCACTTGTTGCAATATAAATGCTAACTTGTACTTCTTTCAAAACTTTTAATGAATTGTACACATTTCGCAAGATTTATAGCGAGAAGCGGACGGCTCAAAATATTGCTTTAAACATATTTGTCACTTTGGCAACGGAACAAAAAAAATCTGGAAGATACTGCCTTTAGAAATAAATCATAAATATATGCGTCTTAAAAGAGTTTATTTTGGTCATTAATAGTTGATGCTCCCTCCCCCACCCAGTGCAGGATTTAAAGTTAAATTATGCAAAATCAAAAACAAACCTTATAATACTTAATCAAACACGCATAAAACTGTCAGGGCCAAATAAATTCTCTCAATTAACTTGCTTCAGATTGTGATTGCATTTACTAATTTAATCAACACTAGAATAATTTGGAGACTGGGTAATGATGAATTGCTGCGGTGCTGGACGTGAAGGGCCGCTAAGGTGGTGTGCTGAGGCAGGAATGCAAGAAATGCCTTCGAGACTGAGGGCAAAAAACTCACAGCTGAGTCGTCACAATCATTTTATAATGGAAACAACTTTTTTTTTCCCATTTGGAGGGGAATTTTTGCCAGCAAACACCCATCA